TTGCGTCCAGGGGCTGGAGCGAGCTGAGACTCCCAGTTTGCGGGCATTTGGATTGGAGCGCGGAGAGAAAACTAGGGCGAATGCTGGGATCGGGGCTGCCGCTGCCGCTGTCATTGAAGATCCTCGTCACAAAAGCGAGGCATCGAGCCTGGCCGATCGAATGCCCCCCTGCAATCGTGACAAATTCTCGCGAATTGGATGGGAACTTTGGGAAATTTCATCTTACCAGAGAGTGTAAACATATCTTCCGCTGTGAGCCCAACATCTGTGAAGGATTTGATCAATCCATTCACGTCAGAGAAGAAACTGGGCAGTCGATTCGTAGCTCCAGAGAAGCTCGCAGTGATGCTATCTCGTCGCCCCAGTGGCACTTCCCACGACGGCCCGCCACTCTGCGCTCAAATTCCGTGCAGAAACAGGGGAATCCATAAGAACTCCACCGAAAATCACTAGAATTTCCTACCAGGACGACAGAATCCCGGGCTGCGAGCGCGAGGATGTCCGCGCATGACACGACCCCCTTGCAGCTGCTCTCGAGAGACGATTTAATCGCGTCGATTGCTTCGAATCCTCTGATGGAATTGTTGTTGGGTCCGGCGGTCTTCTCCCCCTGGAAAGTGGGAGTATCGTCCAGCAACACCGACGCATCACACCCCTAGAAAATTTCAAATTCAAACAGGGGGACGAATCTTAGCGGTCGATTGTGCCGGATCCAATGGACGAGAAGGCGACTTACTTGGACGAAGCAGTCGTGGAAATGGAGACGAAGAAGCGACGCTGGCAACCGCGAGTCGGACTGCGCAGCGTTTGCGACCCCGGCCCTGACGATCTTTTCGACTTGCGGGCATGTCGAATCGTAGTAGCCAGTCGCGAGCGCCGCCTCGGCCGAGAAGGCCAGAGACGAAGTAGCGATCAAAAGCAGCAGGAGAGAATACGTAGAGATCATTGTCAATCACGAAGAACAGAGGGAAGAAACTCTTTTAAGAAACTTCCAGTGTTCTTTAGTGTGCGTCCTCTTTAGGATCGCTAGATTGCCAATGCAGCTGCGAGAGCTCCTAAAGAACTCTAGAAAGCTATAGCTATGCAGTGATCCCGAGGTGGCCTTTTGCTGACTACCCTGGGTCACTAGCAACGTAGAAGACTAGAATTCAACGATGGAGTTTCGACTTCCATGAGTTTTCGTTATATATACACTATACCAGCTGTATGGAAAGCGATCAAACTACACAGTTAGTTCTAGAGTCGCCAAAAAGAGGTAAATTCACGGAGAAAAGTTCCTGCGCCAAAGACAACACAAACGAGGTGCTCTAGAGCTTCTCATTCCTCTTTATTCGCTCTATCTCGTCGTCTATTGTCTCTGTGGTTGGCACTCCATCACAGTTGGATTAGAAATGGATCGATTGACAGGGGAAAGAAGAATCCTTCTCATTCACTCAAGTGTATTTCCCTTCTTTAATTGGATCTATCCTTCAAGCAGTCTGTGGGGGCAAAGTTGGCGACTTTGGTTTGTCCCCTTCTGGTTGTAGAGAGGTCTTAGTCTTTGATTGCAAACGTAGCTTTGCCCTTATAACAACCCATCTTGATCGTCCTCATTCGTTAGTGGGCATCTTTTCCCCAACTCCACGGATAAAATTTCTGCCATTCAGTTCTCTAGTTATTTCTTGGTGCTTCGTTAGCCTCAGTTAGTTGTAGTTAAAGAAGAGAGAAAAAACAAAAGGAAACACGAAAAATTAGTTTAAGAATTCCGAGAAAAGAGAAGCTCTTGTTCATCGATGGTCCACTCTAGCCAAGCGTCGCTGTTGGACGAGACACGAAATTATTGTACTCTTTTGTATCAGAGAATCCAATATTTGTGCTGGTTTTTAGGGCTTTTCGTGGAGATGGCGAGATGTTGCATTCTTAGTGCGTGGACGGACGAGTGGCTAGCTGACGACCTAGAATCACCGAAGCTTCGATGCCGTGGCTAAAATTTGGAGCGCATATGTGGCCCAGTGAGCCAGCAGCGAAACACCTCCCCGACCAAATTCATTTTGCTTAAGCAAACTTGGGATGGTAGTGAATATACTTCGAATATATTTGAATATTTTAAAATATTCTATCATCTAACGGTTATTATTCATTTAGATTAATTTTGTATTTGTAATTTATAAACATATTTATAAATTATAAATTTTCTTAAACCCTTTCTAGTATTTCTTGTTTATTCTATCATCTAATAAAATTAATCTTGTATAGTTATAAACTTTATGAAACTACTATTAAACAAACTACGATACCTAAATTAGGGTTAGGGTTCTCTCGAGAGAGAAGAAACGATGCCGGCGAACAGGCCCCGCGTCTTCGGATTGTTCGTCTACGCGCCCATCAAATCATCGCTCAATTCCGTCATCAACAGGGCCTGTGCTGCTGGATTGGGCACAATGCTCATCGTGGGTAGCTTCGCGGTTCACAGCCCGATCATCTTCAGCGCGGCCAAGAGCACGGCGACCGGCGCTGCGCTCAAGGATGTCGAGGAATCGAAGAATGCGAGCTAGATCGCTGTAGATTGTTCCGAATTTCCTCTTTGTCGATTCGATCAAATAACTCATAAACCCTAGTTAGGGTTTTTGCCTTCCCTGATGAAAGTGGAGGAGGTGAGGGCGCTGGGGAGCGCGCTCCTCGTCTCCAGGGCTAATGTCAACAATTGCTCCACGCTCCTGTCGATCGTCTCCGCATTTTGCAAGCGCGGCGCCGGATCGTCCTCGTCTGTGGAATGTGTTCTCGAGGCTGTGCGGTGTCTCCAGGCGTTCTTTCTGCCCATTCTCTCGTCCCAGGGCGTTCTAGGGAAGCCGCAGAGCGACGGTGATGGCTCGGAGACTGCCGAGGCGATCTACAGAGCTTGGCTCAAGGACAAGTTTGAGGAGCTCATCGAGCTTCTCATTGCGATCGTGGCTGGGACCGAAGAACATCGACTCGAGGTTTTTTCTCTTTTGTATATTTCTTCTTCATTCTTCACAGAACTCCTGTTCTTGGACATAGAATGCGGCTTTGGATTCTTTGATGGAGTTGCTTCAAGCAAAGGATGGTCGTGTGGACAATGGAATCTACTTCAAACTCTGCTCGGCTTTGACAAGGAAATCGAGTGAGAATGTTTTCGATGCGCTTGCGACAGAGCACTGCAAGGATGCGACTCTCTGGTATGCTTCCCATAGTATTTTGCTAGAAACCACATAGTAACTTTTATACTTCAGCTTCTATACTGTGAAGAACTTTGAGAAGCTTGTGTCTGCTCGCCTTCAAACGTCCCAAAGAGGTTAATCTTTACTCGTATCTCTGTAGCAGCTCTGACACTATAAATTGTCAGGAGTGGATGCTACGTTGTCCAGCGACGATGATAAGAGCGTAAGGTAGCGTTGCGTGAACGTATCTAGTTGCTACTTGAGGAAGCTTTTTGCAGTGTCGATACCTTCACCCGTAACGTGTATGGAGTCATTTCACGTCTCTCGCCCTCCGTTCAAGAAATTCTAAGCACTAGTAAGGACATTGTTTCTTGGATTCCGTGGCTGAGCTTGTTTGTCCAGACAAGAAGACCACTGAAAACGCTTTGGATAAAGAAGTAAGTTCTGGAAGAATTTCCTTGGACTAATCAGCAGTATGTATTTTGACAGTTTACCATCAATCGATTCAAATCTAAAATCAGAAATCTGTGGTTAAATTTCTTACAGCTTCCGCTACCTCTTGACGTCTATAAGATGGTGCGTGCTACTAGTTTCTCTTCCCTTAAACAAAATTTCTTTTCGATGCAGGTGCTTGCTAACATGTCCAAGGTCGTTTTCTCTATAATTTCGAATCCAATACGTCTCAGGTTTCTCCATGTTATTCTTTTTTTATTTTTTGCTGACTAACTCGGTTTGTCTCAGTGACTTTCTTACCAAGTCGTATGATCTTGGTGGGGTTTACAGCGTTTTGGCTTTAGACAGCCTGCATATTCTGATGACAAAGTATGGACTGGAGTATCCTGAGTTTTATGAGAGGCTGTACGCTTTGTTGGAGCCATCGATGTTTTTCACAAAGTACCGGTCTCGATTTTTTGAGGTATGTCACGTAAAGTATCCTTATCGTCGACGGAATGTTTATGAATTCTTGCAGTTGCTGGATAGCTGCTTGAGGTCTCCACTCTTGCCAGCTTATCTAGCCGCGTCGTTTGCCAAGAAATTAAGTCGCTTGTCACTACATGCATCGCCAGCAGGATCACTAGTGGTGATAGCTATGGTTCACAATCTTCTTCGACGGCATCCTTCGATAAATTGCCTTGTTCATCAGGTATTAACTCCAGCTTAAAGTTTAGACTAACCATTCGATCGCTTACGTTGTAGAGTTCTCGTTTGCGAGTTGCTAGTAAAGGTGAAGAAGATGTCTCGGACGCAAAGCTTGGAAGAGATCCCTACCTTGCGAACGAAAAGACATCTAATTGCCGCGCTCTGGGTAATGCTCTTCTTTTTTCTCGTGATTGCTTCACATTTCTTTTCTGTGTTTGCAGAGAGTTCGTTGTGGGAAATAGAAACACTTCGAAGGCATTACTGCCCTGCTGTGTCAAGGTAACGAAGTGTCCTTTAACGAAAGAACTGCCAAACTCTAGCGTTTTTCCAGATTTGTGAGCACGCTGGAAGCTGATCTTACCGTCAAGAGGAAGACCACGGAAGTTCAAATCAGCGATTTTTGTTCTGGATCCTATTCTACTATCTTCAACGAGGAGGTAAGTTTTGTGCGTTCGCGCGTAGTTTTTTTTCGTGGCTAAGTGAAGGCTTTTCAGACAAAGAGAAGATTAAAGCAAGTTCCTCTAGCTTATTACAAGGTTGTCCCAAACGCATTGTTTTCCAACAATGAAGAGTTTGCGGGCTGGAGCTTCCCAAAGGAAAAGAAGCTCAAAGTAATGTAAGATCTCGTCCGTTAATGCAGCCGGCCCGACGGACGGCTCGGATTGCTTCCTGTCCCGCCCGTGGCCCAGTTTAAACTCTCTTTGGGGTTTTATGTAAAGCTATCGTCGTAGCAGCGATGGTGCTGACGAGGAAGCGCAGCGCCGAGCTCGCGTTCCAGGAGAAACTGTGAGTGAATCTCTATCGATTTTCTGGAAATCGATCGTTCTTGGATTGTTCCAGCTACAATGCGGACATCTGGGAGTGCATTGCGAGCTTCCTCGACGCGGCCGATCTAGCGCACCTCGCCCTCACGGCGCGGTTCTTCGTGCCGATAGCCATGGATGAGCGACTGTGGAAAGCGCTGTCGCTCAAGCGGCTCAAGATCGGCAGCGAGGCGGCGAAATTTCGGCCGCATTTCAGCTGGAGAGAGCTCTATCGATCGGCATTTGGTATGTACTCCTTGTCTCACAGATTCTTGTCCATGTTAACGCGATCGGTCTCTTCCAGTCACTGGAAGCCATAGCTACAGCATCCATGAACGCGAGAAACATCGAGGTACTCGTTACGTATACAGTCTTTCATTCCATGGTTACGTTTTCCTGTTCTAGATTGGATGCGAATAGGTGCTTTTACGCTCGTTTCCGGCAAGGCGCTCGCTGCTGGCAGGCTCTGGCAACGAATCTCAAAGTCAAAGAAGATGAAACTCGATGAGAGCTCGGCATTGTGCGTTGTGCCAAACGTGCTCCCTGGCATCTGGATCGCAGGTTTGCTTCAGTTCAAGGTTCCCTTCATCTATTCCTACGACGCTTTCATTTTACCTTTTTTTTTTTTTCTCTTTTTTGCTAGATCTTCATAGGATGCGCTGCGGCGGTTGTAACTTGCCTGCATGCACTGGTTTGGGAGAATTGCATTTTCATTATCTTCTTAGATGAGCTAAGCCTTGTTTGCAGGGAGAATGCAGACACTGGACTTTCGTAACTGGGAGTTGTTCCTGCACGAAGAGTTCCAGAACAGAACATGGTCCTTTAAAGAAATCGGAGTCAGGAACATCCGTGAAAACTGTGACGCCGCAGCTGGAGCGGTGTTCGATTACAAGCGCTTGATCGACAAAGACACTGCCAATTCAGGTATCCTTTCTTTTCTTTGTTTCTTTGTCAGATGTTTCCTGCGGGCCACAGGCATTCTCAATTTCAAATCATGGACCGCGAAGAACGGGAACTATCAACCGACAAGCCGCGTCTCTCCCTTCGGTGCGGCTGGATGTACCAATCTTGAAAAGAATGGCGGTGCGTATAGCAAAGGACTTTTACGCTGTTGTAGAGTTTTAAAAGCACACTTGTGCAGGTTTGCAAGTCAAGTTCTATGCCATGCATGCTGGGGTCGACGGGCCAGTGGTGGCCATTCGCGTTTCCCAGCAACTATTTTGACTGATCGATAATGTGAAAGAAGGCCAAGTAACCTCTCCTACCTTTCAACAAAGGTGACATCTTCTTCTTAACTTTTAGTAAGTGCCGTAGGTGAGAGCACCATCCTATCGAGGTTGAAACGCTAGAGTTCTTCGAAGCCGGTTTTACTTTGTGCTTGTTTTTTTACAGGTTGAAAAACACTTTTGTATGTTCCGTAGCAAAAACCAAATCGAGGTTGAAATGCGTGGAGGCGTTTCTAATTGTTCTTTTGAAATCTTTGCGTCGCAGGTTGCAAGTCTCATGTTCTCACGTCAGTCCTAAGACTGCTAAAAGCAGCTGGTCCCTTCGCTCTCTACTCGGAAGGAAAAACGAGTTGCTGATCCAATCGATGACTAGTGGTGGATGATGCTCGGCTTTCATCAGGATGATGGAGATCACCAGGGGATAAACTTCAAACCGTATTTCATTACCGCAGGCTTGTTAGTTTGAGCAGCTTCGTTTTGGGATTGTTACAGCTAACAGGTCCTCGCCGGGCGCCTCCTCCTCTGGCAAAGGTTTAGTTGAGGTTTCTTTTCTTCGTTTTCCAGTACCTCTCTAATCGTGGTTCTTATAGAATTGGAGCGCTGGATGTACGTGTTGTAAGCCACCACCACGTTCTTCGTGTAAGGTATGATGGCAGCAGTATATTCTAGTGTCTAGTTTCCCTCATACTCTAACAATGTCAACTGAGGTTGCATGTACCTCGAGCGGCATTTTTCTTGATTTTTTCCTTGGCCTGCCTGATCGATTCTTTTGTAAAAGATCCCCTCCAGTACGAGTCATCAGATTAGATTCATTGCACCTGCCCGTGATTTTTTCTCACGGTTTAGTTTAGTTTGCTTCCTTCTCAGTTACCAACCACCGTCTTTCTCTTAATCCTCTAGAGTCAAATTTTTGGGATCCAAAGGAATTGGTGTGAGTGGATCCACCCCCTAGTTGTTGGGGCTGTAGCTATTTAGCTACACTGCCCCACGGATGGAGATGGCCTCCCGAATGATAGGAGCCCAACCAACGGCTGCGATGCAAGCCAGAGCGCCCGAACGTTCGTATTCCTTCTCGAGTCGCTGTCATGAAAGATTCCGCCGAGCTGGCGCGAGTGTCGCTCTTCGTGAGCCGTCGATGCTTGTGCGCTGAGGCTGTTGGACTGCGTAGCATGAGCCACGTGCATGGTATCGCCAAATGGCAGTTTCATTTTCTTTTTATTTGCTAGCAGTATATTCTAAGCCCATGAAATTATCTTTTACAGGACGTCCGGTCGGAATGGAGCTGTAGAACACACTCCTAAGATTCTGTGGGGGAGGAGCAATGGATTCCATGTAGCAGCGTTGCTGAAGGCGAGAGCGACGAGGTATGTGACAGCGTCTCTCCATTGAATTCCTGTGGTGCACAAGCTGTACGTCAAAAGTTTCCAAGGCGAGCTTCCGCTTTGATTGATCTCCTTCCCGTCGTAGTTACTTTTTAAGTTACAACCCGTGCTTTGAGCTTGGTTCGTATCGATTTCGACGCGGCCTTCCAATTTCCAAATCTACAGTCTGGCTGCTCCTTACAGACCAATGTTTCTCTCCTGTGTTGACACTTGGTCCTTAGCGTCTGCGTGTTCGTTGTCTCCTCGTGCTGCTCGTCCTGAATCTACAAAACTTTTTGTTTCAGGTTGAGAAGCCAGATTTCCCGAAAAGAATGTCTACTGTACACCTGTTTTTGCTGCTGCTGCTACTTCTTGTGCGGAGCCCGATTCCCCTCCAGGCAGAGCACAACATCTTCGACAGAGGAGCAGGGACTTCTTTCTCTTCTGCAACCGTGAACAGGGGAAACAAACAGGTCCAGATGCAAGTGTGCATCACAATTGGATGCTGCCATCACGTGTGCAGACAATTCTCAGGAGAGAGTAGTAGCACCACTTCAGTAGAGCAGCAGCAGGAACCTCCAGAGCTGGCATCATTTCTTCAGTATGCCTCACCGCCGCAGCAGGAAGACGAAGTGTGTCAAGTTTTAGCCCTGGAGGAGCAGCGGAATGACAACGCCGCAGTCGTTCCCAGAAGTCTGGAGTTTAATCAGCAGGCCCTCTTCTCTCCGTCGATAAAGTTTCTGACTATACTGAACACTGACAACAGCTCCTGGATCAAAATTCTTCAGGCTACCAGCACAGACAAGCAGTTTTTTATCCAAGCTCTTGACGAGAAAAGCGTCGTAGCTCCCGGCGAGAGTCTGACAGTGGCAGTTGTGTTCTTGCCCCGGAAGACTGGAATAGCCAGCGGGAAGATCCTCTTCCAGACCAGTGCTGGAGGCCTCGAAACTCTGGTGATTGGCGAAGCTGTCGGAAATTCTCATCAGGCTACGAGCTTGGAAGATATTGAAGCAGTCCAAGGCAAGCTCATCCAGAGAACATTAAGTTTCTACAACCCGGACGAAGAGGCCGTCGAAATTACGGAACTGCATGTCTGGCCTGGAGATTCTCACAAGAAAGCCCTCTGCTCGCCGGCAACTGATGAGTCGTCACCAACGGATAAAGTCTCCAGCTGCTTCGCAAATGGTTTCCCCTCGGCAATTCTCTCGAAAACAAAGGACGAAAAGTATGCTTCGCAAGGAATGCTAGTTTCACTAGAGAGGCTGGACGATCCGTGGATAATTCAGTCACGACAAGCTGCCGACATTGCTCGCCTCGATATGACCGTAAGCCGAGCTGGTGCCTGGGATGGGCACGTCTACATAAGATTCTCGCAAAGTGGCGGAGGAAAAGTTATGATTTTTCCATTGGGATTGCAAGTGTGCCCGGAAGACGGAACCTGCGAAAAAGAATCGTCAGTAGCTGCAACAAAAGTGACCAAAACCGCAAAGCAGGACAATGAAGCAGCGGCTTCCGGAAGCTGGGTACAAACCAACGATTTGATGGCACTCAGAATGGCGGAGGCACTCCTCAAGGTACGCCCCACGTAACTTTGAAGCTAGCAGCTTAAAACTCAAAGAAGCCAGCGGCCAACTTTGTGCAGGATTTGGCACATACGTTGTTGAGACAGCGAGATATCCGAAAAGGCGGGTTGGCTGCAAATCAAAACGAGCCAACATTAATTCCAGGACAGGTGCTGTCATTCGAAATGGTGCAAATAGGAGTCAAGGAAAAGATGTGGATCAACATAGTCAATCCGACGCAAGAGCCCATACTCATCAATCTCATACTTAACACGGAGGCCAAGTCTCGCAACTGTAAGTATAGAGCAAACTGGTTTTGGCAAGGCCACAAGCCACAGGTGCACAGAGATAGCTCGGTTTTTGCTTTCGACGCAGGCGCTGTGACGGAAGCAATCGTTCAAGGGGGTGGGAAGCTGCAACTCGGTCCAGTGTCCTTTCGGACGAGGCAGAAATGCGACTGGACTGGACTCCTCTTCGTCAAGAACAACTTCACAGGTTTAGAGTGGATTCCCATCCGCGGGAAAGGAAGCTCCGCAGGACTAGTTTTTCTGGACGGAGGGTCTGCCGTCAAGAAGCTGATCATGGCGGTGGAAGTCAGCGCAGGGACTAACTCAACCAGTCTTTCCGACGGACAGATTTGCAACGCTAGAGTTCACAAGAATTTCCAGGTGAAAAACACTGGGAGCGTAGTGCTGGAGGTCCGGAGAATAGACCTGGCAGAAGCACCGAGCATCACTCTTGGGCGCCAAAGTGGTTTCAGCCTAGCAGCAGGGGAAACGATGGACATGATGGTCTCTTACAAGCACGACTACCAACAAGCAGGGGCAAACAAGCAGGTTCTTAAAATGGTGACGAGCATTGGAACGATTAAAGCGCCGGTGGTGGCAACGATACGTCGAGAGCTGGTTTCCTTGTGCGGCCCGGACCCAACTTTCCAGGAGAAGGTCGCTTTGCCAGTTAGCGTCTGCGCTCTGGTCCTAGTTCTCGGGGTCTTCTCCTGGCTACTAGTCCAGGAACTTCCTCAGCAAACGACGCGAAGTAGTCCGGGAGCCAAGCACAAGCAGGCCTGGAAACACGTCGCCCGCATTCGGAATCTTTGGAAAGCAAGAGCAGCGGTAAAAGTCGTGGCTAAAAACGTAGGCGACGACAAAAGCAGGGAGAGGCAGGACCACGGCGTGCTGAGACCCCTCGGCACACGCATGCAGGAGGACGACAAGCTCCACGTCAAGAGAAAGCGAAAACCGAAGAGCACGTCTTCGCCACACAGTAGCTCGTCGTCCCCCGGGCCGGACAGCCCCCACTCGAGCTCCGAGTCGGAGCTAAGAGTCCCGGCCATCGAAAGGATCCTCATCTCGTCCAGGTTTTCCGAGCCTGCAATTCCCCCGAGGAAAGCCAAGCCGCGGGTCACTCTTTCGAGCAAGGTGGCGGACAAGGAACTCTCGAGTAAGAAACCCACGGCGGTGGACAAGGAACCGGACTTCCACGCTGCATGGGAAGGAAAGAAGCTCGCAGTGAGAATCCCGTCCAAGGAGGAGGAGCCAGTCGATCCACCCGGCCGCAAGACCGAGAGAGAGGAGCTTCGCGCGGCATGGGAAGAGAGGAAGCTGGCAGTGAGGATCCCGTCCAACGAGCCACTGGAATCGCCCGGCCGCGCGACTGCCAAGACGAGAAGATCCCCCGCCGCTAAGAACAAGGATTGCAGCAGCCCCAGGGAGGAGAAGACCATCACCATTTCCAAATGCGAGAGCTTGCCACCAGCGATGCCGGACGAGAGCACCGTACGCTTGGGAACTCCTCCAGCCCGGACTCCTGGAGTCCTTGGCCAGCAGCTCCGAGAAGCTTGGAGAAACGATCAGCAGCTCCGAGAAGCTTGGAGAGACGATCAAGCCACGGCTGCTATGTCCGTCGCCAGCCCCGCCAGCTCCACCACCATCCCCGGGAGCTCCTCCAAGCAGCTCTCCTCGATCGGGCAGCTGAGAAAGGCGGCGATCGAGCGGACCACCGAGAAGCTCCAGCGGCGCGAGGCCTCACAGCACACAGATAGCCTGTACGACATATGGGGGGACCACTTTGGAGAGATCTCCAGCACGCTGTCCACGCCCATGGGCAGCCCCGGCCACTACACGCCTCACGCCACGGACCAGTCACTCTTCTCGCGCACTCTTCCAGCCATCTCCAGCGCCGCCGCCAGCCACTATGGGTTCCAGGAGGAGAAGCTCGCTTGGTCCGCCGCCACCGCCACCACCGCCACCACGGCCACCACCGCCACCACCGCCACCACCGCCACCATCGCCACCTCCACCACCACCACCGACAGCGGCGACGAGAAAGACGATTCTCTGAGCTCGGAAGAACTGGCCAATGCTTGGAATTTGCTTGGCTTCTCTCCGGCCGTGGACGCGTACGCCGAGCCACCACCACCGCCGCCACCGATCTTCCTCGAGTGGAACGCGGAGTCGATATACACCACCATTGTCTCGTAGCTACAAAGCTGGCTCCTCGAGGGGTCATATAGATCACTCCAATGTAATGCAAAGACAAAATAGTCGATCGATGATTTCAAAGAGCTAGACCTCTGGTGGATGGACGAGCTTGGCAGATCTTTCCTCTGAAAGAAAAGAAGCTCGCAATCATTGGCAAGAATGCCTAGAAGAGGTTATCTTCCAAAAGTTTGTTTGGACGAATCTACAAGAACACGCTCGTCATACAAACAAAACAAAACAAAACGAGAGAAAGAAAGACAAACACTTACATGTATTCCACGATCGTAGTTTCGCGCCATCCAAGCTCGAACTCTGGAAAAGGAACTTAGAAGAAGTTTTCGCGCTCTCCAAACTTCCAGAGCTTCCATCCCCGGCCGTGCTCGATCGAGTGAATGATCACACACTGCCAGTGTCAAGCGATGGAGTGGCGAAAGCTCCTGTGCGCCAAGTCGTCCGCGCAGTCGGGCCCCTGGTCCACGTACCACTTCTCCGCGTCTGGATAGAAGCCATCCACGGGCATCCCCGCGAGCGAGCTATCATCCGCCTCGCTCAGCGCTCCACACTCCTTGGGCCTCTGCTCGTAAGCCGGCGGCGAGGGAGCTTTCGTCGGGCTCTTGTTGTGGACGATCTTCTTCGCAGCCTTTCTTCGTTTCTGGAGCGAATCCATCACGTCGCTTGCAAACTCTGGCTTATCCTTCCCCAGGCTTTCCTGCCATGCGTCAAACACAGGCACGATCGCAAGCCTGTCGTCCCCCCTGTCCGAGCTCATCGAAGCCTTGAGCTTGAGGCTCACGCTCTGGAGCTCCTGCCCGATGCTACCGAGCGACTCGAAAGGTATCCGCGTGATCCTTCCCTCGAGAGAAGCCAGCTCCGCTCGCAGCTCACGAACTTTCCTTAGAGCCGACGCATGCGCTTCCTCCGTCACCTTCTCCAGCAGCAACCCCGACACCTCCGTCATGTTGGTCGAATCGATCAGCTGGTTTATCACCATCCCGGTGGACTCCTGCGGGCCGGGATCATGCCCCGAGTGGACAGGATACAGCTTGAACGTCGCGGACCCTTCCTCCTGGTACGTGAAACTCTTGTCCTTGTAGCTGTAGTTCGTGATGGGAACGATCGCCCGGATGCGAAAGCCGCAGCCGCAGCGATTGGAGATGAACTTGTTGTTGGTCTTCTTCTTCCCGGTCTTCTTCACGTTTGGCTCGCCGGCGCGGTGGCAGCAGTAGTCCTTCACCTCGGCTAGAAACGGCTTGTAGCGGATGTACTTCTGGCGGATGCAAAGTATCACCTTGTACTTGGCGGCGAGCTGCTGGAGCCGGTGCGGCACGTCCTTGGCGAGGAGCTCCATCGTCTCGGTGTACTCGAACCTCCTCCTCTTGTGGAGGCCATTGTGATCGCCCTCCGAGTTGCAAACCGGGCAGGCCGAGACGCAAACTCTCACGTACGACTCTGGAATGCCGTAGAACTTGGCACCCACCGTCCACACCTGCTTGATCCGGTCGATGGTGTCTTTCAATCCCAGGTGCTTGAGATCCGCGTCGGCGTGGAAGCCCTGGACGATCTCCTGCCACTGGTCGATGTAGGGGACGAACTGCTGAGGATTGCTCTTGAAGTAGAGGAGCTCGTTGCCGTGCTCGTCCACCTGCGCGTGGAGCTTGTCCTGGATCCTCTTCCACCCGGTTTGATATGCCGTGTCCTCGTGCCGGTCCTTCCACACCGCTCGCCAGGAGGAGAGAATGGAGGTCGGGGTGGCGAGCTTGATCTCCTCCGGGTGGGCGTAGCGCTTGGCGAGCACGCACTGGACCATGAGTTGGTGTGACGCGCGATTGAATGTGTAGAACTGCGTGGAGACGAATGGCTCCGGGTCGACGACTATGGCGGACATGATCTGACCTTCGTCGCCCTCGAACTCCGGCTCCGAGAAGAGCTCTTGCTGCGTGTCCGGCGCCATGGACGCCATCGCCACGGACCTAATTTCGATAGAACCCTAAACTCTCCTCCCTGAGATTTCCCAGAGCCTTAGATCATCGCAATCGCGCCTGCCAGGCACCTGGATCCTTAGATTATCGCAATCGCGCCTGCCAGACACCGCCAATCCAGTGGATCCGGCACAAACGGCATGCTCTCCAGCAGATCCCTCGCGCTCGCGACGTATTTCGCGCGGCCCAGCGCATCGATCACGCAGCAGTGGTGCTGCCTCGTCGGCTGGAGCGCGTAATCCACGCTCATCGACCGGAAGCACGCCCTGGCGCGACTGAAATCTCCAACCCGGCTGCACGCCGCGAGGACGCAGCTGAAGGAAGTGTCGCTGGGATCGATAGCCATCGCTGGGAGCGCGAAGAAGAGATCGATCGCGTCGAGAGATCCCCCGCCGTGGAGGAGCGCCGCCAGCATTGCGTTCCAGGAATCCACATTGTGGCCAGGCATCCGCAAGAACAGGGTTTTCGCCTCTCGAATATGCCCGTTCCGAGAATATGCCGTCAGCATAGCTATCCAGGAGACGAGATTCCTTTCCTCCATTCTATCAAACGCGAGCTTAGCGTCGGCAAGATGCCCTTCCTGGGAAAATGCGTGAATCGCTGTCGTCCACGTGTAAACATCTCTTTCCTTCATTTTTTTAAAGGTATCTCTTGCACAATCGGAGTGATGGTTATTGGTATATGCCGCGAGTAGCGCGTTTTGGGCGATGAGATTCCCATCGCTCAGGCAAAGAGCATCTTCTAGATGCCCATTTGAGGCATATGCTGCAAGCATAGCATTTCTAGATATGGCATTTTCCTCCAGGCAAGAGTCGAATATTCGTTTGGCTTGCTCTACGCGCCCAGCTAAGCTGTAAGCGTTGAGCATTGCAGTGTGTGCCACAACGTTTCTCTCCAGCATGGAAGAGAATATGCTTTCGGCATCCTCGAGATGCCCTTCCCGGGCATACGCGACTATCGCGGCCGTTGATGAGAAGATGTTTTGCTCTGGCATTTTGGAAATTAGGGTTCTTGCGTCGCGCAGGTGCCCGGCGGTAGCCAGGGCTTCCAGGAGGATCGTGAAGGAGACGATGTCACGCCGCGGCATGGATCTAAACAGGTACTCGGCCTCGTCGACGCAGCCGGATCGAGCAGCCGCCGCGAGCATCGCATTCCAGGAGACGACATTTCGCTCCGGCATGGATTCAAAGGCGCGCCGCGATTTCTCCAGGATCCCCGGATGATCGCCGCAAATGATCATCGCGGTCCAGCACACGATGTCGCGCTCGGGCAGGGAATCAAAGAGCTCCCAGGCGGCGGCGGCGTGGCCGGACTGGGCGAATTCTCGCAGCATCGCGGTGCTGGACACGAGGCAGTGCTCGGGCATGGAATCGAAGACGCGCTTGGCATCGGCGGCGCCCTGGGCTCGCGCCAGGCAGCACAGCAGCGTCGACCAGGAGATCAGATTCCTCTCGCGCATCGCCTGGAAGAGATCCTGGGCGTCGCGCAGATGCCCGTGCTCGGCAAATGCGGCAAGCATCGCGTTCCACGACACAAGATCGTGCTCGGGCATTCGATCGAAGAGATCCTTTGCGCGATCCAAGTGGCCAGCGCGGGAGAGGGCAGTGATCATCGCGGTCTGAGACCTGAGGGATGAAAGGCTTGGCTCCATTCTTCGTCGCTGACGCAGTTTACCGAGACGAGAACTTAAGTGATCTATATATTGTTTAACCGGAACCCAACTAGAAGATATTAGATATGGGATGCTACTACCATATGGAATGGTGGATGCAGACTTAAGAGGAAATTTAGATGATAGGTGATCTACAACTGGGTAGATTTTTCTTAAGTTTTCTAATTGTGTTGTTCCTGGCACAGTCAGAAACAATGCAGAGTGGCATTCTCAATATGTGAAGCTGAGTGACAGAAGCTATCAAAGGACTCTAGATTTAGAGACATCAGTCTTGAAATTCAAGCACCAACAAACATCTATAATGGTAATATGGCATGCTTGTAGTCCATTCTAAATCCAATACATTATGGGAGGAACAAAAGTGATTATTTGATTCAATCTCCAAGATCAGATGAGGGAAGTGTTGGCAGAATCACCATAGGCATAAATGGAGGAATATAGTCTTAGGGTTTCAATAACCAAGTGTGCAAAGTGTTTTTCGTATATGCGTGTTCATTCTACACTCCAACGCTCGGAAGGTGATCAAACCACTGACAGCAGAAGTGTAGGTTTTCCGAGATGACGTTAGCAAGAATGACTTCATCAACCTGTACACTAAGCTTAGCAACTTCAACCAAGCCGACCAAGTGTTCTAGGATAGTGGTTTCCTGGAACTCAATTATGCTCTGCTCGAGTGCTGTTCCTTGAGATGCAGCTACAAGGAATTGCCCTGGACAGCATTGCTTTGGTGAGCATCCCCTTGACGTGCAGCCCAGGCAGGGGGCGAGTGCTCTCTTCTACTTCTCATCAATGGTGGTCGACTATGGAGTTCCAGTGGGACTTACATTTGGCAACCCCTTCATCTTCTCATCTTCTCTGGAGATCGTTGCTAGTGCAGTTTTAATTTTGTAGTGCCTTTCTTTGTTTTAAGATTTGTCTGAGGGTGCCTAGCCCAGCACCTGATAAGCGGATGCTGACGTGTCTTCTAAGCGAAATCCAATGTCTGAAACTTAGGAGGATTTTGTTCTTCGACTCTAAATGCGACGATAGACAACGAGTTGGATCGAGAGAAACAACGCCACGCAGTGGAAAACTCAAGTTGAAGTTCGAGACGATGACCAAGAAGCTGGGTGTCTTACCGGATAGAGTGCGTGTGGGAAGAGACGAGTGTCTGAGCTCGTTTGCGTTGCAATACGATTTAGTGCTGGGAGTGCTAAGGACGATGCTGGAGCTGGAATATCACCCACCTGTTAAAGTCTGGAGCGCAGTGTGTTGGTGACGCTCAGCTCGCTAGGTTTGCCAGTGCGTTGCGGAGAGAGGAATGATCTGCAGAGAAAGATGGAAAGCGTGTTGACGAGAAGCTTACCAATGACTGCTGTCGATGAGACAAAGCTCACGAAACATAGCGACTACTGGTTCCGGCTGCACTGAAAGGAAAGAGGCTGCTTCAACAGTAGGAGAAAAACTTGCCTCAAGGAAAGAAAAACTTGAAACTCTCCCTGTTGTGACTGCTGAAAGAGAAGACTCGACCAGAGAAAACAGAAAACCTCACAAACATAGAACAACCACTTCAACGCTTGCGCAACTTGGAGCGAGCAGAGCAACTCTGGGAGCTCATGTCAGCAGAGGCAGGAGTGGAGCTCGCTGTTGTCTCGTATAACACCTTGATCAATGGATATCTCGAGGCCGGGGACAACGAGCAAGCGCTGATCGTCTTTTTACAACACGCTTGTCAAGGTTTCTCTACAAATCCCTTTCGAGTGAGAAAATCACAAGCTTACTTGGAAATCCTTGGAGATGAGGACGGGCAACGAAAGAAAATTAGAAATCTAGCTTGGAAAAGTTCACAGCTTGGAAAATCTCACCTGGAGGATTTATCAGCTACGAGACGATGGAAAATCTCACCTGGATGATGAGACGATGTAGCTCCGATCCTTGAGTGCTACATTGTCCCTGGTAGATCTTGGAGCGTCATCAAGGATTTGCTAACGTGCGTTCCTTTTTCGAGACGAACACCAGCAGCTCCGTAATACCCTCCGAGCCTGCAAGATCTACCGTAGTCTTTGAAAAACAAACAGGTTACCAAAAATCGATTTTTAAGAAGGTAATGCAATCGTCTCGACCGTCGTTTCTTTTGTCCCTGCTTTCAATTACCTGTTACAAATATTACCTGACTGCTCACAATCTCTTCTCTTTTCAGTGAAGTCTAGATCAAACATCACGGAATTTTCATGTATCCGAAGCTTCAGGAGCAAGCAAGTCGTTGATTTGTTTCCCATGTATAAATTCGTAAATTCCCATGTATAAAAACTCCCTGTCGAGTATCTGTATAGGTTTTGCCACTGCCATAAGCAAAAAAAAAAATTGTTCCCCACACAACTTGAAAAACGAAAGAGACCATTGGATCCTTGGAGCCCAGATGAAACGAGATCCTTGGCATGGATCTACCGAACATGTAGGATTGACCCAGCACAGGAGCGCCGAGCGCATGCGGTCGTTCTAGCGCCAAGCTTCCATTGGCTGCCTCTCATGCCTGTGCGGCGGCGCTCACCCGGATCGACCGAAATCATCTGGCCTTTGCTGTGGATCGATAGAAAACCCGCTCTTCCTCTAGGCGCGCGTTTTATGAATTGCGGAGAACAGAAAAGATTCGCCTGTCGAGTAAAAGGTGATTTTCTTCATGGTAAAATGTAAGTTCTTCAAAGATAGAAGTTTCGTCAGCTTGTCACGTCAAGAGCCGGCCTAGCTCAGCTGGTAGAGCGCAAGGCTCTTAACCTTGTGGTCGTGGGTTCGAGCCCCACGGCCGGCGAAACAAAGCTATGCGTTGGTTTTGTTTTGCTCGTTTTTTGAAAATCTTTCATGATCGACATCTTTCGTTTTTGCTTCGAAAGTTTCTTGAGCTATGGGATCTTCCGTAAGAAGATGGGAACCTCATGGAGGAGGGGCAGATATGCAGCACAGCAATTCGTCTACGCAGGTTGTATGGAAACCCAGAGGCCGAGGTAGAGACACTCGGCTCCTGGAGGCCGAGAAATTGCTTGAGGTGAGGCAGATATGCGTGATCATCTGCAAGCAAACCCACACCCCAGACAACTGGGAACTCAAGAACGTGACAGCCCGGGCATTTGGAAAGTTGGGTGGCGTGGAGGAAGCCTGCCGCCAAGTCTTTGACGGAACGAGGCATTCCGGGCAATCTTGAAGGCCTATATGAACAACGGGCATTTGGAGGAGGCCAGGGGCGTTTATTCTTCTCGCCCTCGAGCAAAGTCGTCGTGGTGGCAGCCTACACTCGCTACGGCAAGGTGGCGGAAGTGAGCGAGATCTACAAAGAAGGCCCTGGGGTGGAGATTGCTGCTGATTACGTAGGCGAGAAACGGGCTGGTCGACGAGATGTTCCAGGTCGTGGATTCCACGCTCGCGCGGCAGCAAAGGAGCTGTTCGATTCCATGGGCGCCAGGATTCCGGGAGCTGGAACTCGCTCGCGCGGGCATATGCGGCGTCGCCCAGCCATTCGTGTAGTAGTGGGCCTCTATTTCTCGTGCTGGAGAAGGGGCTCGCTGGTCAAGAAGTTGCTTATTGTCTTTGACTTATGATTTTATTGGTGATCATAAAGGCCAATGGTCTATGTTCAGCCTTCCCATTCTAAGATGGACAATTTTTTTCTGTAAGCTTTTCTTTTTATCACTTTTCCTCAACTATGATCTTAAGACTAGAGATGAAACCCCGAGAGAATCAAACGAGAGCTCACAGATAGTCATTGTAGTCTGTGAGGAAAGCGAAATTTCCATAACTTCAAGAATTTTGGGAAGTTCTTCTCCACGAAGAAAAAGAAGAAGAGGACCGATGTATACAGGATTCACAGATCAAAACTTTAAGATGGAGTCTTCAGCCTGGGCGAGTTCATAGAGAAAGAAATCTTCTTTCATTTGTGTTTTACTTTTCTAGATGGGAGCTCTACTACGGTCCAAAGAGCAAGAAATTAAACGTGACCTTCACAATGATACTGTTGCTGCTGGTATAAGCTACAAGCTTTTCCATGAAAGTTTTGCTTTGCTAATTCCTCTGTCATGGTGTTTGTCTTGCCGCAGGAAGAACAGCAAACTAGTAGGGGGGAATCCAAGGATGTGAAGGTTCCACTACATCTGGAACTTTAACCTTCAATTAACTTTTCTGAGATGTATTTGCAGGTCTGTGTAAACTTTGGCCAAAATCAATTTGTTTTCGATGTGGAGGTAAGTTGAGGCTTGTATCGTCTACATCTAAATCTTCTTAAGGGTCTGCCAGGATTTGATTTTTAAAGGAACACGAGAAGCATCAAGCAGAAGTGGAAAACATCCCAGCATTGTGCCTGGATACTTTCTACATTCAAAAAACTTGGCAAGCTCGTCACTAGCTTCTTGCGAAAGTTTGCCGAAGAGAAAGGTCTCAAGCTTCTCGTGGTGTGCATTTCTTGCATCAAACCCTCAACACTAGTAGCGAATATCTGAAGGAATTTGTAGAGGTTTCTTTGGTTTCCTCATGCAAACAAAATGTCTTGTTTGTGATGATCGGAATCCTGTGCTAAGTTCTTACATTCTTCTAGTGGACGTGTGAGATGGTGCAAAAGCTCACATTTTGGAAAAATGAGTGCTTTGGGGTGCTACTTTTGCATTGTACAGAGCCGAGTGAGTTTTGTATTTTGTTTTTCTTTTCCTTTTTTTTAGGAAAAATAGGTTCACGCATTTTT